TTCGACGTTGGACTTTAATTTTTCATTTTCAATCATGGTCATGGCTAGCTTGTTTGCGGTCTCTACCACTGCTTTCTGCATGATTAATAAAGGGAACAGGGTAGGTTGTTAGGTTCAAAGTCTGTATTGTTTACAGAGTCCATGTCCCTATGACTAGGTATCTGCAGCTCAGGATTTTAGCAGCCCTTTTTACTGAATTGAAACCCAGCAGTTGATTTGATCGAAGGAAAACAAAACAACAAAGGGCAAACCTCAAATTACTCCCCTGAGGACTTTATTGAAAATTAACGTCGACGTTTTCTACATTTCTCATGCATGAATGGACACAGTTTCGACGGAATACACTTTCACACACATCAATGGGGACTAAATTGAAAGTTTTATTAATATTTGATGACTTAATTGTGAATTATTTTAAGTTCTCAAATAGTAACATATATATATATATATATATATCATGGACACATTAGATATGTTCCACGGAAAAACTACCACTTTTAAGATCCAAATAACGAAAAAAACCCTGCTAATTCGAGATTTATATTCAATCGTATATTTACATATGTGACTGAAAATATAAAAGATAAAATTCAAATTAGAAATGTCCTTTTCTCCTATTTAATTTACCATTCGACTATTGCTGGTGTAGCTGCCACGCCTTCTTGTTTTGATGATAACGTTTGTCCATTTCCCGCTTCTTTTGCTTCTGCTATTATATTTTATTTAAATGTGTTAAGGGTGTGATTGTGGTTGTTTTTTAAGTATTTTTTATTTAAAAATATATTAAAATAATATATTTTTTATTTTTAAAAAATTATTTTTAACATTAATATATTAAAATAATTTAAAATAATAAAATTAAAATAATAAAATATTTTTAAAATAGAAATGATTGTAATCTTTATTTTTATCAGAGGCTGGGCCAATATTTAGGTGGGCCGACTTTTCAAACTTAAAAACTAATAGTTGGCCACCATTTAAAAAAACTGAAACTTTAGGTGGATCGAATTTGGGTAATATTTGCGTGCCCATATATACAAGACACACTCTTCATAAAGTTTCATGACAGTGAAGTACAGTGTTCGGCGTTTGGTGTCTACTAATAATTTATAAAGGAACGCCAAACTTTTTAAGAATGTTAGAGTATGTTAATTTATAAATCTTTTATTTGCAATTTTCTCTACCAATTATTATATCGAATCATTTTTTAAATTTTAACTAAATTGACCGGCCAACTCAAGATTTAAATCAACTTAAAGTAAAAAAAAAAAAGGAGGCCAACTCAAGATTTAAATCAACTTAAATTATAAAAAAAAAGGTATAAAAAAACCTAGTTTGCTTGGTGAAAACTCGTGTTGAGTTGGTAACATCGTCGATCCAAGCTGGACCCAGTTAAAACCTCGTCATTAACCCATTAACCTTGGACAAACCATTTTTTGGCATTCAAATCGTGTTGCCCACTTTTCTAATAGGTCCTCCGTGTTCAAGTAGACTGTTCTCCTCACACACATGTATATGCGTATCTGATCCTGCTTCGAACTTCCCTTTCCATTCCGTTGATCATCTGCATGCAATGCTCCACGTACGTACGGTCATCAATTCTGAAAATCTTTCATCAAGCCAATCAATCTTGATCTTCAAGGTGCGGCAGGATTCAATTAAGAAGATATATAGTTTTGAAGATTAAAAATAGGAGAAGATGTGATCTTCCCAGCCGTTTCCAATTTGCTTTCTTCTCTTCTCCATCTCAATGGATAAGCCAGGATGGTGATAGGGAGGGAGGCGCATGTACTTGCTTTTGTTTTGTTTTTAAAGCCTTTGTGCCACCTTGCTTTTCCAGAAGGGTTGCTAGCAAAGTAGATTGTCTTCTTCCTCAGGAATTTTAAAAAAGCAGATCGCAAATATCAACTTCCAACAGTACTGTTTTTCTTGCTGCATAAAAATCCTCATCTCTTTTAAAATCTAGCCAGCAATGGTCTCTGAGGTGGGCTCGGCATCACACTCCCATCATTTTTAACCTGTGAAGTGCTTAAAACTCATAATATATTTTTTTTATTGAGGATTTCGTACAGAATATATCGATCAAACTGTTTAAATTCTTGAATTTGGACACCTTTTTATTGTAACATTTTTATTTACTAAAGGGATAACATATTGAAATAATGATGGGAGCATTATTGATGTTTAATTCATATTTTTTTATATTAATTAATTCATTCATTCATGAAACAACCATTTAGATAATGATCTAGAGAAAAATACAATGAATTTAAAAAAAAACTAAAAATAAATAAATTAGAAACAAATCATCAATAATTTATTTTTAATGACAATAACACCTAAGGCCCTTTTTGTTTGTTGAAAAACAGTTTCTTTTTGAAAAGTAAATTCCAAGAAAGTGAATTTTTTTTTTTATGTTTGGCAATGTAATGGAAAAAAAATTGGAAAACACTTTCCAGTATTTGGTTATGTCATGAAAAATAAACTAGAAAATAACTTATTAGTGTTTTATTTTTCTCAAGTTTATTAAAATAATGAGGAACAAAACTTACAAATTAAAAAGTTGAATTAAAATGAAATTAAAAAAAATATAATTTCATAAATTATCTCAAATAAAAAAATAACAATCAAAATAATAGAGATCAAATCTAAAAAATAAAAAAAATGAAAGATGAAGAAATTAAAATAATAATAATTAACATTTCATAAATTATTTCAAATAAAATAAGTAACAATCAAAAGAATAAGGACCAAATTTGAATCAAAAGAATGAGGATCAAGTTTGATATATAAAAAATGTTAATAAAAAAATGATAAGGAAAAGGCAAATAACAATTATAAAAATGAAGATTAAAATTAATATAAAAATTAAATTTTAAGAGATGAAATTGAAAAATAAATATTCAGAACAAAATATATATAGCAATCAAGATTTTGAGGACCAAATTTGATATAATCAACAAATAATATGATATTTTTAAACTTTTCATAATTTTCAGAAAGTGTTTTCCTCTCAAATTTTCCAGGAAAATACTTTCCTGAAAACTAAGTCAAATTTTTCTTTGATTAGAAAGCATTTTTCATTAACTAACTTTTCTAATGACAAACATGCTAGAGAATAATATAATATCATAGGACCTCACCTAAAAGCTTAAGCTTTTGGGTTAAGATGATTATTTAATATGGTATCAAAGCCTTAACGATCAAATGGTCTCAAATTTGAATCTTACCATCCTTATTTATTTGATAAAAAATAAATATAAGGTAATGTGGACTTATATAAGTTTGAAGCTCAAAGAGCCTTCACTTGAGAGGATGTGTTAGAGAATAATACAGATCATATCCTGAAACCTCACCTAAAAGCTTTTGAGTTGAAATAAGTTTTTGACAAAAAAAAGTAATTTCCTAAAAAGTAAATTTCAGAAAACAAACATGGTCTAAATCTAAGTTTCGCTCTTTACATGCTTCCTATGCTAAGCAATATTACATAAACAACTTATTTATAAAGAGATTGAATATCCAATAATTTATTTCTAATGAAAAAGACTTTATTTCTAATAATTTATTTATTATCTAGTAAATGAGTATTACTTTTAGAGTGTCTAGTAAGATTTAAATTAATATTGATCTTCTAATAAAAAAAATGAAAAAAACATATTAAGAACTAATTTTTTTTAAATGTGTATTTAGTTTTTAAATAACAAATGAGTTTCATTGTAAAATAAAAATGGATGTTAACTATATAAACAGAGAGCTATGTGACTCTTGAATTGTAACAATATAAATACCTTCTCCAGCCAAGAAATAAACACGATAATAATAAAATACAAGCAAAAAGTATTTTAATGCATTATATCAAGTATGTGTTTAATAATGTGATATATGATGTTTTTTAATTTAAAATATATTAAAATAAATTTTTTTATTTTTAATATCAACACATTAAAATAATTAAAAAAATTTAAAATAATATATTTTTAAATAAAAAACAATTTAAAAAATAATCACCATCTACTAGCAGACGCTATTACATTGTGTATTTGCGGCCAGAATCACTGTAGCAAAGCACAAAGGAGAAGAGTTGAGCTCCTAAAGACGAGTGTCCATTAATTTGTGGCCATCCATTCCTTCGTGCCGCTCGTGGAACGACGGCCAAATCACATTCCCCCAAGCGAGCGAGAGCGAGAGTGGATCCACTCTCTCCCCGCACTCTCATGACGACATCATGGGAAAATTAAAAAACTAAAAAAGCATCCTCTCTCTCTCTCTCTCTCTCTCTCTCTCTCTCTCTCCGCTGGTTCTCTCCGAGAAATGAAGCCCACTTGCCTTGCTGTGATTAGTCAGAGGAAATGTCATGTAGTGGAGCTTAAATTATCGGCAGTTCAAATTAATTTCTATATATTTATTTTTTTTACAGTCCATGGGATATGTACATTTAAATCTCCTCAATAATTTAGTATTTAATCATGGGCATGCTGAGAGCGAATTAACAGGCAATAGTCTCCATGCATTTCTTAAATCTTTATCCATTAATTCACTCTTAAAATTAATGAGAGCTTTTGACCTCTCTTTAGACTCGTACATATATTGAAGTTCCAAATCTAATCAACCCTCTTGATTAATAATTTCCACAAATTAACAAGTCGTAAAATAAGTGTATACGTTTATTCCTTTTCTTTTCTTCAATAATTAATATTAGAAATAAATGAGGTCAATTAGAATATGTTCTGTAAATTAATTTCACAAGTCGCACAGTACTTTAATCGAATAAAAGATTTTAATCTAAGTAATTATTAATTACAACCGATGTCAAAACTATAAATCTCCAATTGTTGATAAAATAAAGAAAATACATATAAATACAAGTAATTGGAATAAATCTATTAATTGTTTTTGTTCTTAATCAGAAAATGAAAATCAAATCACTTGATGATGAATCTAGAGATAATTAATTAATTAGAAGCAAAGATATATATAAATATTAATTGAAGATAAAAATACATGTAAAAAATATTGTTGAATATATTCACTCTCCCCAAGGAGAGGGACTATAAATCACTGTCCTCCCTCTCCCAAATAAATCCAACAAACCATATATACACTGTCTGGTCCAAAAAGGCATAATAATACTAAAAGTAAAAAAAAATAATAAAAATCACCAGAATTTACCATACACAAACAAAACAGAAGGCAAGAGTTCCCATTTCCTTATCCTCCAATATCCCCAAGCTTCTCCTCCTTTCTAGCTATCAACCCTCAAATCTCATCTCATCACATCACTACACAGCACACACACACACACACACGGCATCCTACCTGGGTTCATATCCATACAGAACCAAAGAGAAAAAAAGGTAGGTAGGTATATAAAGTTTACTTGATCAATCGACAGAGAGATAACTTTCAAGGTCTCATATTATTCAACATGAGAAAGCCAACTTCATCCACAGCTACAGCCGAAGCGGCGGCAGCAGGAGGAGGAGCAGCGGCAAAATCTACTCCGTGTTGCATCAAGGTAGGGTTAAAGAGAGGACCATGGACACCTGAAGAAGATGAACTTCTAGCTAACTATATCAAGAAAGAAGGTGAAGGTCGGTGGCGAACTTTACCCAAGAAAGCCGGTCTTCTCCGCTGTGGCAAAAGCTGCCGTCTCCGCTGGATGAACTACCTCCGCCCTTCGGTTAAACGTGGCCAGATCTCCCCTGATGAAGAAGATCTCATTCTCCGCCTCCATCGCCTCCTAGGCAATAGGTACACACACACTGATCCACTCAGAAATAAAAAACATGGTCGGTTAGTGTTCTTTCAATACAATCTCTATCTGGGTTTCTTTTAAATTCTTCGTTTCTGAGTTGGGTCTCGATCTCTCTCTCTCTCTCATTTTGGTTTAGTTAATCAGTATAGCTAGCTAGGTTTAGGGTTTCGCTGTAAATATGCAGCAGCTTTTGCTCTCATGTAGGGTTAGGTTAATTAACATCCTAGCTAGGTTTCGATCCACGTATAGTTTACATTAAGTCTCTATTCAATTGATTTGTTCTTCTTTAGATCTCTCTCTCACTCTCTCTAATATATATATCTATATATATCAAATATATGAATCTTGTATCATCACTGATCTAGGGTTTAAATTGCAACTTTTTTGTTATTTCTAATAATTCAGCTCGAACGGAAATTTTTATGACTTTAATTTGAAAAAGAAATTGAGCTACGTCTCTTAGCTTGGATCACCAGCTACTTATATATGTTGATCTGATCAATGGATTGTTTTCTTTAGGTGGTCATTGATAGCTGGGAGAATCCCAGGGCGTACAGACAATGAAATAAAGAATTACTGGAACACTCACCTGAGTAAGAAGTTGATAAGCCAAGGAATTGATCCAAGAACCCACAAGCCTCTCATCAATCCTCAATCTTTTGATCAATCCAAACCTTCTTCGTCGAAAGCGAACCACCTGCAAGAAAGCCTAAAAGAACCTATTAAGATTGCTTCTTCTGGTTTGGAAATAACTACCAGTGGCAGTGCCCACATAATCAGCAACAAAGAGAATGGGTATTTTCAAAACAACAGTAATGCACACCTGGGTGATCAGTATCACACGGACCATTTTATTGCAAGTCGTGGCTACACAAGTTTGCTGAATTATGATGGTTCTTTTGGGACGGATTTGAGAGGTAATCAAAGGCTTGGCAATGGAGAAGCTGAAGATTTCAATTCTGGCACCGAAGATGTGTTTTCCTTCCTCAATTCACTCATCAATGAGGAGGCTTTCCAACAACACCAGATCTGTAATGAGCCTAATGTGAATAGTGCACTAGCCAGCACAGATCCTTTGTTTCCAATTGCTGCCGCAACATTTGGAATTAGTACTGGCTGGGAATCTACTTTCGTGCCTCCTGCTCTTGATCAAAATGATTCGAAATAGGGTTGATGATCACCATGTTGAGTATTCTATCATAGTCATCTTTGCTTTTATCATGGCATGAAATTACACTTGGTAATCAGTTTACAAAAACACAAAGCTAGGATTTGGTTTGTTATTTTATGTATTCTGCATATCTACTGTTATTGTTTTACTTCAGCATCCTATTTATCATTTGCTGTTGTGTTGTATTGGTGAGAACATAAACTATTTTTTCTTGTATCCAAAATATTACCCAAACAATGTATGAGATTATTATAGATTTGTGTGTATTTGGATGTTTTTTGTTTCATAATCATAGTTTTTATGATTGTAAGTCAGCTTATATCAAATCTCTCTCGAAATTAATTACATAGTAATATAGAAAATGTGCTCACAGTTGTTACAGCAGTTCTTGTTCAAATCAGAGAAAAAAAAGGTACATGGTTCAAATAAATATTTTCATCATCTATATATGGATAGTACTGATATTTAGATGTTATGCTAGATATTGGAAGGTTTTATATTGATTGCATTTAATTTCCAATTCGTGATGTCGACATCATTTATTGTTGATCATAGATGGATTATAAATTAACAAATGCCAAAATGAAATGAAATTTATATGTAGCAACTAAATTTATAATGGGAAATTAATTAAGAATATTAAGATCACCGCAGCAGTTAATAATCCCTTTGTCTAATGGAATTCCATGAGAATTCATATTGTGAAGAAAAGAAGGCATGAAAACTAATTCCTTGTCTCTAATTTTCTAACTAATGAACTAAGGATGGAGATATAGTCCTGGGAAAATTACGATAAGAAAGTACTTAAATGTATGTGAAAGTGGAAGTATTTCTCACTTTATTAAGTCACTGGAGCTTAATTAATTTGAACAGGAGGATAGGTATCAATTATGCATTCATGGTCACATGTCACTCACAATATCTTAATTTTGAAGAACACTAACAACAAATACTGTTGTAGTAAGCTGTAACACTTTGTAAATTGGTTCTTGATCGAGGTTTAAATTTCAGTATTATATCTAAAATGGTTGATGAAATGTAATACAAAGATGCGGGCAAAAATGTATGTTCTTCTGGGTTACAAGAATGTGATTGTCGATATGATGGAAAACTAGAGCAATGCTTTAGAAAGAAGATAGGCTGCTAGAAATGATTCTTGATATTCAGAATCCTAATAATTAAGTTTAGAAGTAATGTTAAATAGCATTACTACAAAGGTTTATTGCTCATGTAATTGAGGAGAAGGCTCTAGCTAGCTAGCTTCTATTAATTTCAGAGCAAATTGATCACTGATATCGCAGCTAGCATTACACATTCATGCATGCAATCAAACTTTCTGGTCACCTATGAAATATTGATGCTATATATCTGTGCGTAAGAATGTGTGTTAATTTGCAGTCTTCAAAAGTCAAATCCATGTGATGATGGCCTTCCCATGCATGCAGACTCATTTGATCCTCAACTTTCTACGTACCGCAGTCTAATTGTTTCTGAATTGCTTGACGCTTTGTGCATGCACGTGTCAAATAATTTGCACCGTACAAATACATGTAGCCTATATCTATACAACACACAGTATACTAACTGTATATTTCTTATACTACTATATATATGCGGTCACACTTTCCTACGAAAGATGAGGCACGGTGAGGACCAGTACGTATTCAACTTGCTATATACTCTGTTCAAGGCCATTAAAGCTCTAGGCATAATTCTATGTGTGCTTTATCTATATTTACTTTATATCTTATTCAAATTCAATAACTTATTATCATATATATTGGTGTAATTATTCAAAAGACTCCTCAATGTTTTATTATCTAGCCTAACATACTTTTTTTTTCCTTTTAAAATAATGTATAAAGCTCATAACATGACAAATATCCTTACCATATACTAAATGAAAAGGAATTTTCTAAGATTAAAAATTATGCATTCTTTAACATGCATGCGGGTTGTTCTTCCACATCAAATTTACTCAAGAATATTTAAAACCAATCAGCAATATTAATCTAATAAATGATCATCATGCTCATCTTAGATATGAATAAACATCAAAGTAATTTGCTTATTTGAAATGAATACACAAGCATTTAGGGTATGAAAAAAACTTACTGGTTGAGAATTGAATACACAGACTTAATTGATAAGTCTATGATATTTTTAATTTATTTATTGAAAATTATCAGTTCAAATCTCACAAATCTCAGTATCATTAGAGACTTACATGTAGTTAGTGATTTAAAGATTTATAAAATCAGTTGAGATACGCACAAGATAATTCAAATAGCCATATAATTTGAAAAAATAAACTCAAATCCTCCTGAAAAATCAAGAAAAAACTCATGAGTGAAAGGAAAAAAAATAATAAAAAACTAAAAAATATATAAATAATTAGATTGATTGATCTTGTACGGGGAATAAATTTTAAAAAATCACAAATTTATTAAACGAAACTTTTATTATCTCAATGCTAATCATGAACTAAAATCACGAGGAAACAACACCCAATTTCATGCATGAACACAAACGATGGAGGACTCGCAAACTTTCGTCTGTAACTGGACCAACAATCTGGAGCCTACGTACTTAGTTGTTTTTTTAATTTCATGGGCTTGAGTGTGGGCCTGGTCGAAGCTCAACTGAGATGTTGTTTCCTGGCTAACAAACAATCTCAAGGCCAGCTTCAAGTTATAGGACCGGCCCAATCATTATTATTTTATTAATTAACGTGGATAAACCCATAAACGTTGTATCAGGTGGCAAGAAGAAAACGAGGCAGGTAGTCACGTGGGTAGGTGGAGACAACTTCCTACCCCACCCCCTCCCTCTTAACGTTAGTTTCTTTATTTTTTTATCTTTTCTTTTTGAAGCATACCAATAATTGAGTTTTGCATCTCCATCTTAAATTAACATTACTTAAATATGTCATAAATTAATCCAACACTCAGACCATACTCATAGCAAAACTTCACTAATCCTTTTAATAAAACCATTTTCAAGTCGGTGATTATTTGTTAGAGGGTATTTGCAAGTATCATAAATATTTTTATTTAGAATTGTATTAAAATAATATTGGTTTTTAAAACATTTAATTTTAATATTAGCACAACAAAACATAAAAAAAACATAAAAAAATATTTTAAAATAAAAAATTTTAATTTTAATAAAAAATAGGTTTACAGATCTAATATTAATACTCATCTTGATAATAATAATAATAAAAAAAAATCCAACAACCATAGTAAAAATAAGTGACTAACTTAAATGACCTTCTTTGACATAAAATATAAATAAATTCAATTTCTAACCTCTATACTTCATTATCAATACATTAAAGTTCTATTCCTACTTTTGCGACGTTTGAGTAATAAGAAACATGGTTATGAAACTTTGTGCAACTATTAAGTAGATCCATTGGATCATGAAATGAAATGGATGTATCTTTTTATATTGCCTTGAATTTTTTACAATTAAATTGGATTTCACTTATATTTTAACTAAATCACATGTTAATCTACTACATTAATGGGATTAATTCTCACTTGATTTGGTATAAAACCAAGTTTAAATTAGATTTTAAAGTAATAAAACAGAAGTAATTAATTGGGCGAGTTAGGTTTTATAACACCTGAAAGAACCTTGTTGCTAATATTGTTAGATTATAAAGGGCAGACATAAAACCAGTTGAATCGAGATCCACAAGACTCGATCGTATCCGAACCTCAACTCTAGCTACCAGTCTTCCATTACAGCATATCGGATTGTTAGCTGCATGGTTGACTTGATGCTCACAGGTCACAGATGAACTAATTAAAGCAGGCCATGGTGCGAATTCGCTGACCATTTATTTTCTTGGTATTTGCGTCGTCCATCTACCCATATAACATAAATGCTTCAACTTTCTAAGGATTCCAAAAGCCACTTTGTTATGGCCATTAAACTGACTACACAGGAAGAGAAAGAAGAAAAATAAGCTGTTTTCTTTTTTGTTGAATTTTTTACTTAATATTTTTTAATAGTTTTGATATGTTATATCAAGAATAATTTATTTAAAAAATATTTTTAAAAATAATGATCTCAGACCATAATTCATTGAAATGGTTGCGATTTAATTTCCCAGCGCACAATGCAACAGAAGAATTAAGGATCATTACGACTCAAAATCCATAAAGGCATGAAGTGATGTTTGGCCTTGGATTGGCCTGGGGGGTGGTTTGTGAGGGTTGATTCTGCAAAGGGCTTTGGATCAATTACTACAATTTTTTCATGGTAAAATGCACGAAATAATTAGGATTTATAATGTTGTCTGGGTATTATTTTTATTTTACAAACAAGCAAACTCAAGATACTAACTTGAACCATACGTTACACGAGCATGGACCTATTGGACTCTTCCAACCTAACCTTCTTGACCTACCATGTAAAATCACAAATTAAGCTACAATGCGCGCACAATTAATGGGTTAATCCATGATAAATGTTTGAGCTTTTTCAATTGATTATTAGTAATCTTTTTTCTTGCATGAGAATTAAGTTGATGGTTTCAACAAAATCAAGAGAGACAAAATGCCAGCATGTTCAAGTTCAGGCCTTCAATTATGGCACGACAGGCCGCAGGGCAAGAGTGCTTTAACACGGAAACACAGAGCATATCCTATCGGAAACAAGCAAGGATACACTAACGTATGAAAAGCTTTTACATTAATTAATAAGCAAATCCTTCATGAAATAACAACCATGGCCATCAATAGCTTAGATAATTCAATTAACAACTGAGAAAAGCAAGAAACGGACCAAGGGCAATAACCAGAAATAATCAAGGGGAGCCAGGAAGGAAGGACTTACCGGGTCTGTGCCGCGAGAAAGGGACCATTTTAAAAGGCCAAGGAAATATTTGAACCTTTTTGTAAAATGCGTTTTGGTATAGGATGGAGGAATGATCATATGGGATCATGATGAAAATCTTTTTTGGGAGAAAGAAAAGGATGAGAGTGCTCGCGATGTTCATGTAAGAAAGTAGCAGGGTCCTGTTTTCAAAATAATTAGTCACGCTCTCTTTATACCAAGAGCGAAGCAGATGGAGGTTGTATGCCACCGAGCCAGGCAAATTGGGCCCTGCAGGAGGGGGGGGATTGGTATGTTTTGACCAGTAGATTTGTGAATAGTTTTTGGTGGGTTTACTAGCAGAGCAGGTAATGGCCAATAGGGACTAACCAAACGTTCTAAAGAGAAAGGGTCAGATTTTGTTAGACAGACCAACCTTTCCTTGCCATGATCACCATGCATTCCCCAGTGCGTATCAGGCATCAGCCTAAGGGTCAATGGGATCCTCTTTTGAATTCTGTGCTTGTTTACACGCTTGAGCCGCCCCTCATCTGATGTGTTGTTGTGACTCTATCTACAGTGATAACAAAGAAATTGGGATTTTTTAAACCTCATTTGAATAGTTCTTGAGGTCAATAATCTTAATCATCTCAGATATATATATATATATATATATATATATTTTTTTTTTCTGGATTCAAATTGATAGCATACAGCATTGAGATAATTTAAGGAT